AAAAATAAACTGAACAACTTCTGCCTCAGGATCACATCGAAATTCTTTACTGAATTTAAAATTTAGAACTGTTTTTTTTTGTTTTTTGTCCTTTGGCCTGGCCGGGCAAGTGGTCCCGGGCCACTCTGGTAGCCTAGGTTGTGTAGCAATTTCCTTTCAGTGTTTGGAGCATTTTCCCCACAGATGGCTTGGCTAATTGCATTTAACGCCACAGCCAGTTTTAGATCATTCTCAAAAATGTGGGTCTGTCAATGGTGGGGACTGTGGCTAGGGAACAGATGGGGGGCAGGGTGGGCGCCCCCCTCAGGATGACTTCGCTTCCTCCAAAGGCAAACATCTGGATGCACGGCCGGTTTTAGAAAATTCTCAAAATCGTGGGTCTGTCAGAGCCTGTGGCGTAGTTATTGTTCTCTTCGAAGGTAAACACTGTCAGATGCGGTTTGAGAAGTGCGGGTCGTAACCACTGTCAGATGACTGGGATGAGAAGTTACCTCTCATCGCCAGTCTGTACAACAACGTGGTACACAGCACCACCGGCGGCACTCCCAATCAGCTGCACTTGGGATGGAAGCCTAGATCTGCTCTAGACCTTCTCCTGCCTGAAAACCGAACTGCTGCAACTCCTGGAACCAGTATGAGAAATTGTTGCAGCAGACTGTCGAACACATCAAGAAATCTCAGGAAGCAATGATTGCTTCTGAGAATAAGCATCGCCGACAGTCCACATTTCAGGTAGGGGAATGTGTCTGGGTCAAGGCTAGTGAGTTGGGACAGGAGTTCGGCATCTCTAGGAAACCAATGCCTCAGTATTTCGGTCCCTGGGAAGTCTTAGATATTGTGGGTAGTGATTTGGATGGTCCCTCGTATGTGATTCGAATCCCTGGTCACTTAAGCACTTACCCTGTGTTTCACACCTCAAAGCTTGCACCTTTCGCTGAGACACAGCAAGTCAAGGAGATCAATGCTGTCCCAAACCATGGATGATCACGTGGACGTCGGCGATATCCTGGATCACAGAGACAGGATATCGCCTTAACCTATGGGAACTTGTCAAGACAGCTCCTCAGATGGTGGCCTTAACCTATGGACGGTTCAGGCATCGTACGGATCCTAAGGAAGATCGATGATTCACAAGAGAGGAACTTGTCAAGACAGCTCCTCAGATGGTGGCCGAGTACGAGCGAAGACTGAATGGGAAGGCATTGGCATGAAGCATCTTAGCGGACTTTCGAAGCTAAGGGGGATGGAATGTGAGGTATGAGCCCTTGCAGGGCCCTTATCAGACGGGCACATGTTATAGGCAGAGGCCCTCAGCAAGCCCTGTGCCCGTCCTAAGTGAAGGCGGGCCTGAATATTCACCAGAGGGACATTTTTCGGTATGTGGGTACTCCGGTAGTTGCAGCATGCCAGTTGATTGAGAGGAAGCGTGAGCCTCCCTGCGCTGCGCCGTACAGTTGGGCCCAGGCGTTGGTAGTTGCGCCTGGGCACACACACACAATGCAAGGCAGATACATCACGAAGTGGCTACAGGCCTACGAAAAAGCAACATTGTCGATGTACATACCCCGGGTCCTCTGCAAATGCAGCAAACGGCCCAAGTCTGGAAATCCTGGGCGTACCCAACCGAGAAAGGGCCCAGGCCCTCAACTGAAGAGCTGGGTCTGGGCGCAGGCACTGGGGCCCGACCGGAAGCCAATGGAAGCTTCCCAGCCAGGCACACGCAGCCAAACAGAGGCTGCCACTTCCATATAGGAGGAAGGGCAGCCATGGTAAGGGCATTCTGGCCCACGCAGGCAACGCGGTCACACTGCTGCGTTGCTGCGCGATAGGCTGCGTGCTGCGTCGTGGCCAGGGCGCATGCGGGCGCTAGAGAGGTGAGAAGGGGCGCTGCAGGGCAGCAGTGCACGAGTGGCCATAGCAGGGCTGCAGTGCACGAGTGGCCATAGCCGGGCTGCAGGGCGCAAGGGGGTAAGGGGCGATCAGTGGTCTTCAGGAAGGAGGCAAGTGTGGGTGGACAGGGAAATGATGAGGGGAGATGAGATGCATACCTGGTGCATGAGGGAGGTCGGCTATGGTGTTGACGTCATGTACATGGGTCTTCAAAGTCGAAGTGAGCCTGTTGCGTGAATGCGGCTGTAGTAGGATAGGCAAGTAGTGTAGGCTGGGCGCTGGGCGCCAGACAGAGAGGATCGACATTGGATACTGTGTTGGTGTGGCCTGAGGGCTTGAACATTGGCTCAAGAGTTCATTGTATTGCTCTCATTTGGATGGAATCTCGGTGCATTTGTGCTCGCTGCTTGTACGTGACTACTTGGACATCTATGTGTATATCGTTCTCACCAACCATCCCTGCCGACCGCCAACCCCGACCGCCGACAGTATTGCAGCCGACCAGAAGGGCCAACCAGTCGGCGGTCTGCCGACCAGTCTGAAAACAACCATCCACTATTTTTTTTTCAGATCTGAGTTGGAAGTTGTACTGTGCTTGCTGAGTACAGCCCAAATCCGCTGAGAAACTTTTGCGGATGGGGGGGTTGAGGGGATGGTGTATAGGGGGATATAGGGGGGTGTAGGGG